TACAATATTCTTTTTCATTTTCAGAAAGCTCCTTGTTTTTCTTGACTAATGAAAAAAAATAATCTTTTCTACTTTTTTTATCAGAATTAACTAGTGCATTATTATACATTTCATTATTAATTTTAAATACAAGTTCTATTCTTTCTGTTGGTAACGATGATAATAATTGAGCATGTGACATTATAAAATTATGAATTAGTGTTTTAATAAATGAGAATAACTTTTTTTCTTTGTGGAGCGGAGAATTGAATGACGTGTAACAACACTTTTTTCGTACAACATTTTTTATTTGTGATTCAATAATAAAAGAAATTCTTTGAAGATTTAAAAGTGATAAAAATAGAAAACAAAATTAAAACATGTACAAAAACCTGTCTTATGTATTATGTAAAGGTCGTTCTAAGTACCCATATTGATCAATATATGTTTCTTCAAACTCAGAAACTAAAGACAGCTCAAGCATATTATTAATATTATTGAGTATTAATTACTATTATGCGTAGCTAACTTCAAAGTCAAAAACTCAAAAAAACATTTACATTTCACAAAATGTAATAATAGAAAAATAGTTTTAATTTATAAAAAAGAAGAGCCATTTTTATTTTGAAAAAAATACACGGAAAAAAATAAATAGTTTAAGTAAAATTTCTAATTCAAATTATAACATTTATAAACTTTCCATGATAATTATTCTTCTCGCAACATTGCAATCTACATACAATGATATAATAATTCTTTACTCATCCCTGGGACACACATTTTTACATAATTTGGAATTTTTGATAATCCTATTTTATCATTATCATTATTGCTTGCTTGTATCAAGTGTTTACTTGTTTTTACTTACGTCAAGTGTTTTTACTTACGCCAAGTGGTTTTACTTTAGTCAAGCCGTCGAAATGTCCTGGTGAGAAACAACCTCTAATCAATACTTTAGTTACGTCAATGACTAAAGTCAAAAGCATCATTATTCATATGTAAGCTCCAACCCCACCAATCAAATTTTGAGAAAAAGAATAATAGTAATGTTAAGTTATAGATCCATAAAATTAATCACTATATACAACAAACAGAATTCGACACTTGGAAATAAAGCATCACCAAATGCCGAAGAAAAAGTATGTTTTCAAACTTTATTTATATAAATTACTTTTTTTTAGTTAAATAAATAAATCATTTATTTATTTTTATTTTAGCTAAAATCTTCAAATCAAACACAAATTACTTCTTTATTTCCTAAAACTAGAACTTTGGCTAATAAAGAGCGAAACTTTATAAATCAACTATTTGTTGAGTTTATTTCAAAAGTTTCACAATCAACCAAAATAATTAAAAGTAGTTTCACTTGAAAAGTTTCTATCTGCATTAAATGAAGCCCTGTGAATCAACGATAGAAAATTTGCCCGAATTGGGTCAACAATAGCGTTGGTTTCTGAAACTATGGATTTTTGCACTGTGCGAAAGTCTGAAGGCTTTGCCATAAGTCGAAACTAGTTTTGACTTTTGACTTTTGATTTAGTTTTGACATATAACTTTTAATTTTAGTTTTGACTTTTATCTCATCAAAATAGGTTTATTGGCTAACGCTAGTCAACAGTGTACTCATCAACAACTACAAAATTTAATCAATTCAGATGTTTTTACTGCAAGTTTGACTGTTGACTTGCATTGAGATTTCAAAAGTTTAGATTTTAATCAAACAAATAAATTATCCACACACACAGGAAAAAAATTGTGATATTTTATTTGACACCATAAAAATTTGGAAAAGTAAATAAATCTTTTCAGAATTCTTTGTACATCTCATATTCTACAATTATCTGCATTTAAACTAAATAAAGAAATTCAAAGATTTATCTTACGTTGTAAAAGATTGATTTCATTCTTTTCTTCACCTAAGCAAATAGAATATCTTATTTCAGCATAAAATTATCTTAGTTATGAAAAGACCTACAAAACTATCAATGATGTTAGAACTGTACCTTCTACTCCTTGAAACGTTTGAATTTGCTAAGGGATTCTATTATTTGTCTACCATCACGTTTACTTATGGATAAAGATTCAGATAATAAAAAGGCTGGTACAGTCAAAGCTCGTTAAATTCACAAGTCCGGCACGGCAAATTTTATTATCAAATTTCAATCATCTGACTTTTTGCAAAGAGATTAAATGTAATATTTCCATATATATTTTAAAGTGAATTGGCGATCCAAATAAACTAGACAATCAAAATAATAATGTTTTCATCTTTTTTGACCTTTACAACAATTACTGCCAGAATATTTAAAAGAAACAACAAACTCAAATCAATTTTATATAATAATAATAATATTAATAATAATATTTTTTTACGATTAAAACAATTTCATACGTGGCAAGAAAATGCTGCAAGCATATTACCAAATAATGTTGATACTAAATCGATGGAATTCAAAGTATATAATTAAAGTTAATTATGCAATCATTGTAATTTTAATTTTAATTTTAAAAGGATGGTAATTTAGGAAAATGAAAGAACAATGGAAGAATTGGTAAATAATTTAGAAAGTATTGTAGCAAAAATTGCAATTGGTAATTATTGTAAACAAGTATAATCATTCAATTGCAACAATATTTAAAAGAATAAAACTAATGATTATTTTCATTAGGCGGTGATGAAGAGTCAAGAAAGCGACAACTCAGACTTAATAAAATATTGCCACGTGAAAGGTTATTATTATTATTCATAAGTAGCATAAGAACAGAATGCACTTGATCACTAATCTAAAAAAAAAAATAATTTATTATTTAAAGAATAAATCGATTATTAGACAATGGGTAGGGTACTACTAAATTATCATAATAATTATAATGATGATAATTATTTTAAACTAATATTCAAATGTTTTCTTCATACATTAATATTAACAGATCTCCATTTTTGGAATTTTCACAACTTGCAGGTTATGAATTATATTCTGATGAGGTGCCAGCAGGTGGAATAATCACAGGAATTGGAAGAGTTAAAGGGTTTGTTTCTATTTTATTGCAAATATTTCATTTATTATGATAAATTATCTATTTTGAAAAAATTTATTGATATTATTATTTTGTTTTTTTTTTTAGAATTGAATGCATAATTGTTGCAAATGATTCAACTGTTAAAGGAGGGACTTATTATCCAATCACAGGTTAGCCTTCTAAATCAAAACTACATATATACATATACACATACATATATCTAATAAATTTTTAGTTAAAAAACATTTACGAGCTCAAGAAATTGCACGAGAGAATAGATTACCATGTATATATTTAGGTAAGGAAATAGCTTGATCAAAATTTTGATTGTTAAGTTATAAAATAAAAAAGATAATAATATACTTAGTATGCTTGATATATTCATATGTTCACTAGTGGATTCTGGTGGTGCTAATTTACCTCGACAAGCAGAAGTATTTCCTGACCGTGAACATTTTGGTAGAATTTTTTATAATCAAGTTAGTACCACCACCACCATCGTCATTATTATTATTATTATTATTATTATTATTATTATTATTATTATTATTATTATTATTATTATTACTACTTAGAAGGTCAAATGATAAAAATTAATATTGTCTTGTATTTAAATTATTAATTAGGCTAATATGTCTGCTGAAGGAATACCACAAATAGCAGTTGTTATGGGATCATGTACAGCTGGTGGTGCTTATGTTCCTGCTATGGCAGATGAGAATGTCATTGTTGCAAAACACGGGACCATATTTTTGGGTGGGCCACCACTTGTAAAAGCTGCTACTGGTGAAATAGTCACAGCTGAAGATCTTGGTGGTGCTGATTTACATTGTAAGCAGATTTATTATTTAGACATATTAATTATTTGAATTTTATTTAATTGTTCATGTTTATTTGTATGATCATTAATTAGGTCGTAAATCTGGCGTTACTGATCATTATGCTGTGGATGATGAACATGCATTGCAAATTACGAGGAATATTGTTGGGAGACTCAATTGGTCAAAAAAATCAAGTGTAAATAATATTAAAAATTTAATCCATTAAGAAAAATATAAATATATTCTTGGAATTTTTTTTAGGTTACAATAAAGGAACCAGAAGATCCATTATATCCTGCATCAGAATTAGGTGGTATTGTAGGTGGCAATTTAAGAAAACAATTTGATATAAAGAATGTTATTGCTCGTATTGTGGATGGTAGTCATTTTGAAGAATTCAAAAAATTATATGGAACCACTCTGGTAACAGGTACAAAAATATCATTATTTTTTTTTTCCGAAGAAAAAAAAAAAGGTTCATAAAATAATAAACGCTCTTGAAATTATACTTGATGATAGGTTTTTCACATATTTATGGTTACCCAGTTGGAATAGTAGCAAATAATGGAATTCTTTTTTCAGAATCTGCTATCAAAGGAGCTCATTTTATAGAACTTTGTGCGCAACGTGGCATTCCACTTATATTTCTTCAGAATATCACAGGATTCATGGTGGGGTCTTCAGCTGAGGCGGGCGGGATTGCCAAAAATGGTGCAAAAATGGTAACTGCTGTATCTTGTGCCAAGGTTCCAAAAATATCAGTGATTGTTGGTGGTAGTTTTGGCGCTGGTAATTATGGTATGTGTGGAAGAGCTTTTGGTCCACGATTACTTTGGATGTGGCCAGTAAGTTATAAAAAAAATTTTTTTTGTGAAAGAAAAAAATCCTATTACTTTATTAATAATAGTTGATGTTTATAAATTAAAAAAAGAATGCTAGGATATCTGTCATGGGTGGTGAAGAATCAGCAAGAGTTTTAGCCCATATAAAACGTGACGCAATCACAAAAAAAGGTGAACAGGTAAGCTAGATCTATAACAATCCACATAGTAACATTGATATTATATAATGAACTCTTAAAATTTAATCAGTGGTCAAAGGAAGACGAAGAAAATTTTAAGCTTCAAATCAAAGAGAAATACGAAAAAGAAGGACGCCCTTACTTTTCATCAGCGCGTCTATGGGATGATGGAGTGATAAATCCAGCTGATACCCGTAAAGTACTTGGGTTATCACTTAGTGCTGCATTGAATGCTCCAATTGAAAAAACTCGATTTGGTATATTCAGAATGTAAATTCAATGAATATTCGGTACTACATACCAAATCAGCAATGATCATCATATTATTTTGAATAAAACGAATAGTTTAAAACGAGTAAAATGAATAATTTGGATAAAACGAGTAATTTGAATAAACCAAATAAAGGCGAATAAAGCGAATAAAATAAGTAATTTGAATAAAACAGCGAATAATTTGAATAAATGAATAAAACGAGTAATACAAATAATAATTTGTGTTGCGAATAGAAACTCTACTAATATAAACAAGACCCAATATAAACTTTAATTAAACAATTGTTTGATTGTTCTTTCACTTGGTCAAAAGGTGACGTTAATTTACATATGTGGGGCATGCTGAAACAAAACCAGACAAAGTAAACATTTGTTTGTTTAAAATCACCAATATAGTGCAAGTTACTTAGTCCCACAACTTTCTGTGCCACGCCGCAATAAAAACTTTACAGTCACATGATTTTTGAAAATTGTCAAGTGCTAAATAAATATATTAAAATTTTTCTTTTACATTTATTCCTATATATACATATGTAAATGATGATTAGAACAATAAACAACAACAATAATGATTATAGTGATGTTATTAAATATTAGTTAAAATAAAAGAGAAATTTATATAACTATTGAATGATTGATAAAACCTTTGTTAGTATATTTTGTTCGTAGATCTTGCTTGTCCTTAAAGCTTACTCCTACACAAACTATTAAATAATTGATAAACGTTCATTAGAATATTTTGCAAATTGCATATTTCTTTGATTAATGCAATAGTCTATTTATTAGATTTAAAATAAACGAACTTAGCTGTTCTTTGTATTTTTTTTAATAATAAAGATAATTCTCTTCCCGTTCATCTAGAAAATTCACGTGACAAAAGGTCTGCAATTTTTATTTTGTTTTGATTCGTCTATTTTTGATATTAACTTTTTTGTGTAACACGTCACTTTAGGGCTAAACATAGTAAATTTAGTAAACTTGTGCAACTTTGAAGCTCAAATTCTCCACAACAACATGACATATCAATGAGATGAAATCGTGACTTTGTAGAGGAAGGTCTTGACTTCAAATACATGATTTATTTTGTGGTTCATACATTACATGTTTTTGTAACACCGCTTTTTTTCTTCTGAATCTAAAAAAATTATATATATTCATGATTTAATTGAAGCCTTTATTATAGTAGGTATTCCTTTAAAAAAAAGTTGATTATTAATTTTTTAGAAATCAAGGTGGTGCTATTCCATATTACGTCAATTATATATACCTTGAATTTTTTCTACACCTTTAGAAAATCTTAAAACTCTTTTGTCAAAAATCTGTTGCTATTAAAAAGAGACGAGGTCACATGTCCTTAATATGATTGGCTGGCCTTCGATATATTCGTTTTATTCTTTACCTTTAATTTCAAGTTTAATCCATAACTGTTGCATGGCTTATATTTATAACTTAGTTGGAAAAACTTGATCTGATTTCAAAGAGTTTAACATTGTCAATGATGTAGTTAAAAATATTAAGAAAGCATTCATTTATCCTAGTGCTAGAAAAAGGTGACATGAATTCTTAGTTAGAAATGCTATTTATTTCCATCCAAAACATTCTCATCATCATCAATAACACCATCATCATTGATTTCAAGTTCTTCTTCAATATCAACTAGAGTTGCCTTCCGAAACTCTTGAATTTAGAATTATTTGACCATTCTAAACTGGTTTAGAAAATGAGATAAACTCCTAAAAATCCCAAATCAAATAAATATTCTTAATCTTTATTTTCACAATTACATGCTTTGCGTTTGACTCCAAAATGTCCCAGATGTTTTGAAGGATAACATTCAAAATATTGCCAAACTGCATTTTTTGGTTGCATGCCATGTTTTTTTGAATTTGATGAACTATTTATATCTACATCAGATTATATATATATTTTTTTAAGAAAGAGAAAAAATTATATTAGAACAAATAAGAATTGTTATATTTTTATCAATTTAATTAAAATGATTTCAATTTACGAAATAGAAACTTGCACGAAAAGAAAATCAGAAAATGTAATTGATTCGCAGAAATTATCTCAAACAATGGTAATGGAGAAAGAAATATTTTTAAAATGTAATGGACTTTTAATTCTCAGATTAAATTTAAATGAAGAAATTTAAATGACTTGATCACTTTAGAAATAATTCAGTTTCAAAGGTAGTTTAGGGTTTCTAAACTAGTTTAGAAAGGCAACTCTAATATCAACTTCCTCAACACAAAATAAAAGTACTCTATCACCACTTCCAGTAAAAGCAAGATGGTGTTCTTGGTCTTCTGGTTATGTCCTCATATTGGTTATTTTTTCTTGAAGAATCAGCAATAAATGATGGTAGTAGGACAATTAAAGACCTTGTTTCATCAAAACAATATAATTTATTTAGAAATTGTAAATTTTTTTTGGGCTTCTAATGCCAAAAAGCAAGTTTAATACAAAATGTTAATCATCCATGATAGTCTTTTAACTAATTCATACAATAATAAATTTGTTACAGGTATTGAATTTGGAATAAACCAGGATTGACCATGTTATAAGTCCATTTGTGTAGCATTTTAACCATTTAGTATTTTATTAATGGCAATGGACTGGACCAAAACCCATTGGTCTCGATGGATCCAGTCTATTGCCAACCCTGGAATAAACCATTAGATCAAACAAGTGTTATGTTAATTAATGGTGTCAATAATCCACTATTTGGCAATGAAATGTTAGACAAATCATAAAATAATCAAATTCATCTCAATTATCTTTAAAAAAATTTTCATAAAGTTGCTTTAAAAAAATTTGAGAAACACATCAATAATTGCTTAGCAATCAATCCATATGATGTTTTGACCTTCAGTATTTAAATTTTCTAATTCACATCATGACATGAGTTTATATAACACTATGTCAGAACTTGGTGACTCATCAAATGATTTAATGGCAGAATGAGTATTTTATTGTGTTCTTGATGAAATCTATGGTATGGATTTTGACTTAAATTCATATTGGAGAGAAAAAAAACATATTTTATCAAATTTATCAATATTGGCAGAAACTTATACTTGGTTGCCAATATCTGGTGTGAAAATATTTTAAATGATAAAAGACATGCATTTTTTATTGAAATGGTCAATGTTTATATTTCAATAAGAATACAAAATTAATGATCTGCATTGTGACGCACACGATTTACTTTTTATTTTTCCAAATACAAAATACCATTTTATTTTTTTAATTTTAATTAAATATACCATATTTTTTGTTATCTTGAGAATGTCTTCGTCTTCTTGGAATAATGATATCCGTGTAGTTGTTTGTATAGGTAATGAGGTGGTTTATTTTGTTGAAATGGGAATTTTAAAGTGAGAAACACTATTTCTTATTTATTTACTTGTATTTATTTAGATTTCGGAACAACATATTCTGTAAGTAAAAAAAACTTCTAATGATCTTTTTTTCAATTAACTGATCAAAATCATAATGACAAATTTTTCAGGGATTCGCATATGCAAACTTAGCCAACCCTGAGATCGTAACAAATGAAACATGGACAGGTTATTCTGGTAGATTGAAAACCAATACTGTGCTTCAATATGACGATTCATTTGAAAAGGTTGTGGCATGGGGACAGCCTGCATTGGCAAAACGTGAACGTAGAGGAAGAAATAATAATCTAAACACTTCAAAAGTAATTGCAGAGTTGTTTAAATTGCATTTAGGTAATGTGCCTGATCATCAAAAAACAAAATTGCCTGGAGATTTAAGTCATAAACGTGTCATATCCGATTACCTTGAACAGATTGGTAAATATCGAATTTTCTTTATTGGATTGTTTTAAAATTTAATTCATTTTTTTAATATAATTTCCTAATTTTTCCTTTATCATGACTATCATTTTATTAGGAAAAGTAAATTTTAAATCTTTTTATAAAAAGAAAACCTATACTAGTTAATTTTATTGTTATTAAAGGTGTTAATTAATGATATTTTAGTTAATTATAGACACAGTTGCGATGAGATGGCCAGGAATTGATTTCTATAAAAATGTTCGATTAGTTCTTACAGTTCCAGCAGGTAAAATATTTATCATAACGTTACTTTATGTGTTTGTAAATATATTATTAGGTAATATAATTATCTGATATATACTATATTTATATATTATATTTTTATTTGCACCTATATTAGAATTTAATGAACAAGCTATTGCTACAATGAGAGAATGTGCATTTAATGCAAAGCTAATTAATGTTAAAAATACTCAAAATTTACAATTTACAACTGAACGTAAGTAATGATTTTTATTGAGGAAAAGAAGTTAAATTATTATACAATATATTTTTATTTATATAATTTTTTGTTTTTTTCAATAGCTGAGGCCGCAGCAATACATTGTATGAAAGTTTTGAAAGAGCATTCACTTACAGAACCAGGAAGTGCGTTTATAGTTTTTTTAATTATTTTCTCCAATTATAAAGAATTATACCTTACTAGTAAACGATAAGTTAGTTTTTGGATTATTATTTATTATGTTACATTTATATTTATATTTATAATATAGCGTCATATATGATTGTTGATTGTGGAGGTGGTACAGTGGATTTGACTACAAGAAGATTAATGGAAGGAGATACGTTAGGAGAAGTTACTGAAAGATCAGGAGATTTTTGTGGTGGAAGTTTTGTTGATTTAGAATTCATAGGCTTTCTTGGCAAAAAAGTTGGAGAAAGAGCCATCAAATTATTAAAGGAAAATCATTATGGTCAATATCAATACTTGGTACAAGAATTTTGTCAAAGAATTAAAATACCATTTACAGGCGATAGGAAAGACTTGGATGGTTATGAGTTGGATATTGATGATGTTTGTAAAGTTCTTAAGCAATATATTTCGAGCGACAAAAAAGATGAATTAGAAGATAATGAATGGCTTGTTGAAATGACTTTTGAAGATATTAAAGGAACGTTCGATCCTGTTATTAATAAGATTACTAAATTAATAAAAGATCAATTAAAAAAAAGTGGTAAATGTTCTGCAATGTTCTTAGTAGGAGGTTTCAGCGAGTCAAAATATTTGCAAAAAAGAATTAGAGATGAATTTCGATCTCAAGTTAATAATATATCAGGTATTTTACATAAGCATATAAAAATATAAATAATGAATAAACTAAATACTAATATTTTGTTAACGATAGTCCCTGTACAGCCAGTAGCAGCGGTGGTTAGAGGAGGAGTAGAATATGGTATAAACATGGCAACAATAAAATCTAGAGTATTGAAGAAAACTTATGGTATTTTATTAATGCCACAATTTCGAGCTGGAATTGATCCACCGGAACGCAAACTTGCACATAATCGTATACAAAAATTCAGTAAGGTGGTTCAAAGAGGTACGGAAGTAGGCGTGAATCAAGAGTTCAAAAGAACTCTAAAACCAAGTTATTCCCTACAAAGTGTCTTCTCCATTCCAATATTTATAACTACAAATGATAACGCAACTTACTGTGATGAACCTGGAATGGAGCTGTTGGGTCAATTACAAATGAATTTACCTCAACAACACTTGGGAATGGATAGAGTAATCGAGTTTAATATGATATTTGGTCAGATAGAACTTCAAGCTTATGCCAAAAATAATAAAACCGGTGAAGTTGCTACTGCAACCTTTAATCTAAAATTTTAATCAAGAATAGCTTGAGCGAGAGGAGCAATAGAAATATGATTAATCTCTGTTGAGTTAAAGCATCGACACTTACATCCGGCTACCCAATAAAAATTTTATCATCATTAATATTATCAGTATTAACATTATCAGTATTATTATTATTATTGCTATTTTAGTTGTAAATTATTTTAATTTTTCATTTTTTTTTTTTAATTTTGAAAAATAAACAATATTAATAGACGAAATTATGTAAGTTTTTTTAAATATAAACTTTTGTAACTAAATTCCTTCGATTTTAAAGATCCAAATTTTTATTACAACTGTAAAACAGCATGTGAAAAATAACAATACAATCCAAAAGTACTAATCACTCGACCTGTCTTCACTCCATCAAAATCCATTTATCCTTGACTTTAGGCCTTCAATTGGCCACTCAAAATAGGACAGATTTGAAATTCCAGAAACAGTTTTTACAGAAATGTGAACTGGAATTCCACCTAAATCTTTGATTGTTGATTCTATTTTTATAGCATGCGATATCTAAAAATTTCACTATAATATCTTAATTTCACATGATGTGAATCAACAGTGATTTTTGCTTCAACAGGCTTCACCTACGAATTTCTATATTGTAACATTGATTCCAATTTGCAATAATTCCAACCAATAGTACCACTTTGGGTTATTAATAGTATTGTCACCGATTAAATTTGGGAGAGCATGGTGATAACAATTATTTTTATTTTTGTGTGGATCAGAATGAATAGGTTATCAACGAATTGATTTTGGATTAGCGGATAATTTTGTTTAAGAAGATAAAAGTTTTAAATAGAATAAAATATTTGTTATTTTATTTATTTAGTTTTTCTTAGTTGAAACTAATTAACTTATCACAAAGTTACTTTGAATTCAAGCTCCTTATATACGTAATTCTAATATTTCAAAATTGAAATTTCCATTCAATATTGGAAAGTTATTTCAATATTGGAAAGACGATTCTTCCTTAATAAAGTTAAATAAATTACGACATTATAATAAATAAAACGTATTACGGATAAAATAATAAAATAAGATTATAAAAATAGAATTAACTAAGATAGAATAAAAATTAAGAATGGCGGAATTAGTTAATTTCGGCCAAAAGAGCTTCCAAATCTAATTCTGGTAACAGTATTATAAGAACTACTGGAATCGCCTAACTTTCTACACAACCCAAAATCTGAGATCAAAGCACGAATTGTTGGCATTTCATGATAAGTGATGTCATCTTTCTTGATTTTTTTTATGTGCTTAGAAGTGACTATCAAAACACAGGATTGTGATAGTGGCCACCATTATCTGAAAAAATTTTGATTCATTTTGGTTTAGGGTCCAATGTTTCAAAATTTGCACCAAAAGATGATGCTGTAATGTAAACCAAGCATCTTGCTTGGTATCAGCTAATGACCACATGTATGAATCTCTAATTAGGTGGTTTTTTGTGAAAATTAAATTATGTGAAGTGTCCATCTTCTCTTTCCAAAAAACTGCTCCTTGGTTTCACATGCACTCCTAGGTAAGATTCCACATATTAGAATTACCATTTTCATCAGGTTTAAAAGCTTTGCTTTAAATTGATTATTTATATAGAATTTTCTTGTCTAGTGAGCCAAAAAATAATATAGTTAATATAGTTTATATCTTGACTCTTCAATTACGTTCAAAAGGTTTTCTGGAAGTATAACTATCAATTTTTCAATAAACTTAAACAGCTGATCACACAAGCATGTGTGTTCTTGTGTACATGCATACAATTATTGCATTTACATAAGGTATTGTGCCATTTTCAAATCCTCTTTTTAGATGGCATCGTAATTTTTAAGCCCACTCATCAATTTATTCTAATAAAATTATTATTTAAAAAAAATCATTGATTGAAGCTTGTTAATGAAAAAAAAAAATGTTGATAAAAATTAATTACACATTTTATTTTCTGAATTATATATATACCTGTAACCTCTTTTCTATTGGATTAATTAAATTATTAAATAATTCATATTACAGATTGGGGTGTGAGATGCCCTAATTAAATGATGTAATATAATGCTGATCAATAACAATAAAAAAAATAAGAATATATGGGGCATGCTGCAACAAAACCAGACAAAGTGAACATTGGTATTACCAAGGATTTCAGGGATCAAAATTTAGTAATGTGATTATTAAAATCTTCCATTTGTTATCTTAAGTGATATATAGAACTATCCCTATGTAAAAATAGTTAATATGAAACTCATTTATATCAGATCTACTATGGAACCCAAGAATTATAGTACCATTAGAAGTATTTTAAAAAAGGAACAAGGGGAAAAGATTGCACCTTATATTTTCAAAATAAATGATACTCAGACACTGGAAGCTTATCTAAAAAAAGAAAGGATTACTTATGAAATTTACCATGAAGAAAGAAAAATAATAAATGTCAGAAAAAGAAAGCAGAATAAAAGTGTACTATTATCAAACAAAAAAACAGAAGAAAGAAAATAATATACAATAAACTTATTATTGCATATTAATTAAATTATACATGAAGTCAAAATTAAACATTTCAATTTTTCATTTTGATAGTTGAAATGTTGGATACCAATGTTAATCTGTTCACACATTTTTTGTTTTTAATGAATTTATTCAATGTTAAAACATACTTAAAAGATGGAAATTTGACTTGATAAAAAATAATATTTTATAAAGTTCATGTTGAATAATTAAGAAAATAATAATAACACTATTATCTATTGAAAGCCATTATGAAATTCAATCACATCCTCTAATCAGATAAACCTTTTATAGTTAAATAATTATTGAATTCCCTAGAGGATGCTTTAGTGGGATAATCATTGTCACAGATATTTATATTTATGTGGTTGACTAGCTTTTGGTATCAACCACTCTAGTTTGCAAGCATTTGTAGTGTTTAGTATAAATTGTTTGTTTATAGGTTTAAAATCCTAGAGGTAAAATATTCAAGAGTTATTTAGTTAAGCTGTTATGCAGCATTATTTTAATAGAGAATTATAGAAATTATAGGGAACCAACACTACTAATCTTCAAATTAGTATAGGTTTGTATTATTTATTCATGAAAACACCAACCATTCATGTTCACATCATAATATTCAAATTAATCATTTATTATCATAAACTATTGTAGTTACAAAGTAGCAAAGGTTATAATTATTCATTCCTATAAAAATTTTACTTTTCAACACATACATGCTAATGTTCCTATATTCAGTCATCAAAAACACACTCACATGTCTATCATTATTTTGTATAACTAAAGAAAGAGTTTTCCATAAAATTTAAATCATGTTCTTTTGTGATGATACCATCATCTTCAATATCATTATGTGTTGAATTTGTATCAACCTGATTTATAAAGTATGAATGTGTTGTATGACCCTCCTTGTCAGCCTGATTGAAGTCAATGATTAGCAGACTACTGTTATCATTTGAAACCATAAAGTTTGCTACACAAAGGTTTCCATGAACATAGCCTCCTCTGTGTAGCACATTTACAGCTTGTTTGGCTTTTATGTACCAGTATTTGCAATTATGATTTGTCAGAATTTTATCTAAGCATGTATACTTCTCCTCAGGAAGATATTGCATTACAACCATTAACCAACTTCCAGGAAGTTGGTTAATGGCCACAAGTTCTGGTGCAATACAAGCTGCAGCACAGTAGTTGTGCACTTCCTTCCCATACTTTTTTGTGAATTTAATAATGAATTGTTGATTTTTAGCTATGTCACTAGTTGTTATGGAATCCACAAGAAAAAGTAGTTTATTATCAATCAATTGTTTCTGGTATTTGAATGTAACCTGTACATCATGTAAATTTGTGAAAGAGGATGGATATGGGAAGGATTCTTGTCTCAGTTGACCTAGATTTTCACCAGTAATTTCATACAATTTCAAATTATTGTACTGTTCTTTCAGGTCTTCTAAACCTTTCTTAAGTGCTTTAAATACCCGTGCAACAGTGCCCAAAGTCTCATGATCAAATGTTAATGGCATTAAATTAAACCAACCTGTAAGAGGTTGCACAACAAATGTCTGACCAAAAACAGCACCACCAATGGCAAGAGTGGAACCTGCAAAGTAAATCAAGAAGGCAGGATTAAGATGATACCGCATACATTTCATAGGGTTAGTGCTGACAAACTTCATGTATGAAGCGCAAGATTGCATGTACACACACCCAGAGCCCTCACCCATCTCATTTTTTGCTTCACCAAGTAACAGAATATACTGAGTCCCTCCTTTGTTGTAAACAATACCAAGATCAGCTTCTTGTGATCTTTGATGAAGTGGTAATTTAGTTACAGGTATTTCAAAATAATGAGAGGCCCATCTACGAAATATATTATTTCGTGAATCTTCAGTATCATAAAATTTTGACATATCATGCATCAACTCAGTTAGTGATCTATAATCCACAGCAGTAGGTTCAATAGTATTTGCACTGTCAACAAATTTTGCAAAGACTGAGTGATACAAAGTGACTGGAATACTTGAAATCCGGTTTTTTCCACGGAAATTTAAAATTAATCCATCATATTTCTTTTTGCAATATTCTGAATGTTTACTGAACCTTGATGGTGCTGGCATGGCTTCTACACACTTTGTGATTTTTATCACATCGTTGTATGAACCATTACCATTGTATTTGGTCTTTGGTTCATTATCTCTTTCTGTGACAAATAAATAATGAACAAAAGAACACAGAAGAATAGAAGAAAAAGGTGCATTTGGTCAATGTCACAAACAACCTACCAAATGTTTCAACATGCAACCAACATTTTTGTTGTAAGATCTTTACCTTTATTGATTTTTAATTTCTTTCTTGATTCTTCAGTCACATGGTTTTCCTATAAGTCAAAAATTATATTAATATTAAAAAAGTCAATCTTACCCATTTGAAGAGAATAATATAATTAATTTACTTTATCATTAAATTTTGAAGCTTTTTTTTGTCTAAAAAAGGAAATATTAAAAGATCAATTTTAGTTTCATATATATATATATATATAGAACTAGAGTGACGAGTGAGGGCGATAACCACCACCACCCTTAAAACACTTACTCGTGTTGTACTCTGCCCTTTCCTTTGTTTCTTTTTTTGTCAGCGCGTCCTGTCATTTTTTTTTGAAAAAAAGAAAAAAAAATTTAGTTGATCACAAACACAAACGCATCGTTAATTATTTATGCGATTGGTTTTTTTTTTGTAGGACAGACACGAATTGATTTTTTTTTTTTGGAAAAACAATTTATTTTTTGACAGATGACAAAACGCGAGTGATGTTGTTTGGCATGTTTGGTTTGGGTCTCCTAAAGAAACGTGTTAATAACTAACCAAAGGTACTATTGTTTACTTGTATTGATATAATGTGGTGTCTTTTAAATATATATAATTGGTTTAATTGGAATCAAAGCGCGGAGCAGATTTTCACTGATAATATTTTGCTTTTTGTAATCAATAATATTAATAATAATATTATATTAATATAATTAGATGTCAAGGCAGCACACCATTGAAAAAGAAACATTTCAATATGCAACGTTTGATTATTGGAAATTTACAGATATTGAAGCACGCACGCTACCTTGAACACTTTACAGTCATTCTCTCATCTTCCTCGTGTACACAAGGCTAATCTGACTTGCATCCCCCGATGATACATTGATGCAACTGAATTCCAGGGGGGGGTCGCTCTGCTCTGGAGTTTACCAAGACTGCATCATCGTCAATGACCCTTTCACTAATTTTCCCAGACCAGAGAAGGCTGCTGGACTCTGATGTTAAGAGGAAAGTTGTAAAATAGTGTTTGCTTTGTATAATCATTTTCCTAAATGCTCTGTTTTTCTTTAATTTGTTTTTTGAATGGGGGTAAGGTTGTTGGTGAGTAGGCATGCCACTAACAAGACACAAACCAGGACTCAAAACTCGGAATCCAGGGAAAATCCAAACAGCAACCCAGGTTGTAACCTTCCAAGTTGGAGAGTTGCAGACACCAACTTTATTCTAGTGAGGTGATAACACAAAGCAATCATCACACAAGCACCAGCTATCAGTGATCAATGCCTGTATGAAAACAGCCAAGCCTGGTCTGAGGGGAAGATAAGGGAATGTTTTGTCCAAAGCCTTCCAACATGTGGGGGACCTTGCCTGTGGAAAAAAATCCACAGTTATGAGGCGTGTGAAAGCACATAACCACATGTTTGTGATAGGAAATTTTTATTAAATCTGACACCTGTTATCAACATCAGATTTATTATTCATAAAGAAAAATAATTTATTATTGTGAAACCCAGAGATCTGAGTAGACACACATTATTAAAAGTTTCATTTATGCATGGCCTTGGTATTATTTATTACCTGGATGATGCAATTGTTTGTTATGTCAATGATAACATCAAATGTATTGAATAATAATCATCACTATCATGAGTATTTGATGGATGGAGGCATTCACATACAAGGAAAGGATTAAATAGCTAAGTCTTGTTTGTTTTATTAAAGATATATAATTAATTATATAATAAAAATTGCATGGAATCCAAGACTGCACCAATATGTCAATCAAGCTATCAAGCTGTTATGTTTGTGCATGATTTAAAATTCTCTTGTGCTAATTTAGGGTCCCATCATTCTTTGCTTATATATAGTCAATTGGTTTTCTTTTTACCGGTCAAATGATGCCAAATTTGGTAATAGTAGTAAATATCAGAATCTGATATCTGACCAATATTCTTTAAAAAACTGATAGGATAATAATATTCTCCATATATATAATCTAAAAGCCTATTAGTAAATATTGAAGTGCCAATATTGTATTTGAGTAAAGTAAAAAATAATTCAAATAAAACGAATAAAAGGAATAAACGAATAAAAGGAATAAACGAATAAAAGGAATAAAAGCAAATAAAAATGAATAAAACGAATAAATGTATAAAGTTTAATGATTTTTTTTAATGCAAATTTTTTTGATACATCAATCTCAATCCATATTTATATACTTTAAAGTTTCTTTATTTCTTTTTTTGATAAATAATAAATTTATCCTTTGTTTATTTGTTTAGTAGATTCAAATAGATCAAATGATACACTACAGCAAATTTCAGAGAAACAATAATGCAAAACACACATAATAAGTATATATAGCTTGTAGCCTAGGTCCTGTAGAATATGCATGCAAAATTTGTGTTTTCTGACTTTTGTTATTATTATGTCATTATTGAAATTCGATTATTTCAAAAAAGAAAATTTATAGGGGCCTAGTACTAGGCCACAAACCATATAGTCAACCCCATTATTTCCGTTTAAAATTAGTATGTAGTATTATCAGTTATTAGTATTAGTGTTAGGTTTAACAAATTTGGGTTTAACAGGGTGGATTTACTGTTTCTTTGGTTTAACAGGGTTGACTACACAGTTGTGTATTTTATTATGTTAAAAAAAATTTTTTTCTAAAATAAAAAAATCTGTTTTACTGTTTCAGTATATATATTAAAATAATAGTTTCCATGATTTTATCCTATCCATTTTTGGCAATAATAAATAATTTAAATCTAGACATAATTACCTTTCATGGAACCAGTTGAGGATTTTTATTTTCTCTTTTATATCAATTATTGAATATATATTTCTGATATTTATTTGC